CGTCTGTCAATGTAAATGATATATTCACAAAACCACATGATTGCAATTTATATCTAGTTTACTCGACAAGACTTGTTCCAAAAGGAGAGCCTGTACCAGGCTTCGGGAAGTGGCTGGAAAGAGTAGAAATTTACCAAATAGACAGATGATGTGCCAGGGGAAAAGTCTGGAGCGGCAAATTTAGTACAGAACAACTCACCAGGCATACATATGTATAATCTGGCTATTTGGACAATTTACACTCTTTCCAGTCGCTTCCCGAAGCCTGGTAGAGGCTACCAAAAGGACATCAGCAGGATGATATTAATTTCCAAGCAGATGTAGTGTCTAGCTCAGTGTCTTTTTGATGAGGCTTTTCATATACTACGGTATTTCTCTTGAGCATTCCGTTTTCTCTTTTCAAAGTGATGCCTAAACACACTGTGCCAGACCCCACATCTGCTTGGAGATTAGAAGGTTGAAAGTTGGTTCTGCAAGCAGATGTTGGGAAGTTTAAAGATAAGATACTGTATTTACAACAAACTGGACAACCAAATCAGACCTTCTAGGAATGTAGTAATTTTTTCCTCTGTGTTTTTACATGACAACTAAAGCCGTCCCGAGTCGCCCGTATGACTCTAAGCACGTGGGGGGAATGAAAAAAGTCCTCACGACCACAACCAAGTAACGGCTGTGTGTCGCTGAACTATGCAGGACCGTATAACGTCATCTGTTTGCATACTGTGTGCTCATAATCTATAATTAGAGATACGAAATGTTTGTGTTGACAGTGTGTGAGGCAACAGCAATACATAAGCCTGTTATGTCTTCTGTCAACAAATAATAAACTGGGTGGTTTACATGTATAAACCCTGATACACACAGACAGAAGATAGCGGGTAAACATGGTATACTGGTAGCAAAAAGGAAATAGGACAGTTTGCAGAGTACAGTTTGCATAGTATATAGTGTACATCTGTATTGTCATCCCACTGTGAAAATGGCTGGCACACATGTTAGCAGTTGTGGATGACCTTACCAGCCCATCAAGTAACATTAGAAACAGCCACCATCTGGAGGATGATTACTGTCTTTAGTCTGAGTATTCTGTAGTTAGACCTTTGAAGTTTAAGCCATTTCATAGTTGTTGAACATCAAGGATTTTTGTATTCCTCCAAATCACTACAATTTAAAATTTAAAACAGAAAAATCTAAATGTATCATGGCTGAGCACACCCAACTCCCCAAAAAAGTCAGTCCTAATATGTTACAAAAATCAAACTTTGGATCATTTTCTAACAAAATTGGACTACTGGTTAGTGAAACTTGCTAGCAATTCCTTGTGGGGAATTCTGGCTATACAAATACATGCATGAACACGTTCAAGTCAGAAACTGACACAGTTGACCAGGCAGTGCTTATATAGGGTACCAGCTTCCAGTACATAACAGAGATCTACCATCTGTGCTTGAACTTGAACTAGTCTAAACACAGTCATGCAGGATCAAGTCATTCTGATCCAACATTCAAGACGGGAAAGTAGCCATCATATGACCAGCACAAGGACAGAGGTTTAAATAACTTATGACTCTTCGATCAATAACAGGTCAATTAAGTTGCACTCCAGACGTTTCCTATGAATGTAATATATTGTTATCACTCGCTGACATCACAGATACACCATATTTTTGCAAAGGCTGCACGTTTGAATGTTTTTCTCAGCAAATATGTGACATGGCTGCATAATAAGACATGTTACAGGTTTAGATTCCAAAACACAACTGTAGCATATCGCATTGATTTTTAATTTTAGTAAACAAAGGCCACAAAGGAAAATATAACCTTCCATAAATTGATATGATAGAGTTACCTTTGTTTTTTTTATATCCCTGCAATTTCAATGCATTCTAAATAATACTTAATCCTGGAAATAGATCTTTATACTGAATGCTTCGAAATAACAGTAATTTGGCAAACAGATATTATATTTTAAAAAAAATAACTGCACAGTTGCAAATACCCTGTTAAAATATATTTGAATCATTAATTTTTTTCAGTACAAACATAACCGTTACTGTTCTCTCAACACAGCTGAATTCACCTTTCATTATTAATTATCATCTTGATCAATGAACATAACTCTAATAGAACTGTGTATAAAGTATGGAGTATGGAGGTGGCGGTAGTCTTTGAAGAGAAGCTACATACAACATCAACTAAAATGTGCAGACGTATCATTTGATGAATAATTCAATATCATGTATAACCTTTGTCACGATATTTCATTTCAGTGGAGATATCAGTGTTATATGAGGAAATTATCTTCTTATTTCGAAAGTTGGTATCAAGATTCAGCAAAACGTAATAACACATGATCTTAAAAGTCATAGACTCTGGTTTAATTTCCGTTTTTGTAAGGTACCATACCCGTTCAATTTTCCCAATAACATTTGGGAAAGACAATACACAGGTATAGATGTTATCAATGTACATGTAATATAATGTTACATGTACTAATTAACACTAATGGGTGATAAATAGCCTCAAAACACAGGCTTTAGATGGTGGCTATCAAGCAGTGTTCGAAATACCTGTCTGCAGTCTGCAATCTGCAGATAGATTTCCAAGATTGCAGAAGAAAAATTTATACAATCTGCAATTTTGCAGAAGGAAAAATGGGCTCCAGATTCAATAGTTTTCAATTTAGCAAACTAGAACTCTCTGGCCACAAGGACAGACAACACTTAAGCTCCTGTTTTGAAGCAACAGGAGCTTCTTCACTAATTTGCATCATCCTTGTCTTGACTTGTCTATCTTTTGTTTCCCTTTAGACTTCAAAAAATTTGTCTTCACTAATTTGCATATGTGCTTATAAACCTGCAATTCTCTTAGTGTCACTGATGAAAGGTAGTAGTCTGACCATTTCAGGTAGCACCAAAATCATATCGAGTTGCTACAGATTTACAAAGCTATATATGATGTAAAAAAGACATTAATGGTTTGAGAAGGTCGTAGTATGGAGGCTTGTGTATTTGCAGAAAGTATTTTCAAATTGCAGAACAAAATTTTGACTCTTCTGCAATATTGCAGAGCACTGAAAAAAAGTATTTCGACCACTGCTATCAAGTCAAGAGGGTTAATCTTTGTAGCCTGGGTCACGTATCCTTCAACTTTTACCCCCACCCATAAAAATTTGATGAAAAAATGAAATACACTGGAAAATAAATTTGAGGAAAGTTTTAACTTTGATGTCTTGAGGACACTTCCGAGACACTTGAGCATTTGAAGCACAAGTCTTTGGTTATCTTCCTCCTACCCTTATCATGTGTGGTGTAAGTAGGTGTTTGCTTTCTCTAGTGGCTACTGTGTTGAAGGACAGGGAAACCCGATATCCGGCTCAAAGTACCCAACACTTACCACATCCACTAGCATGGTACTGCCACTATTATATACTGTCTATAGGACATGACAGCAACCCTGTTCTGTCATGCCCACTGAGTCTATGTAACTACTGTACAAATTGTACTTTGTTTACCTACAGTTTAATGCATGTGGGCTCTTGAATACTTTGCCTTAACATACCGCACCCTCCCAAAATGCGGATTTCCCCTAACTCCTGTCAAAATAAGCAAACAGGATAGACACTCTGTGTAGGCTGCTTGTGTAAACTGTAATTTCCTAGTGACTAACAGTAACAGTTTATTCTATGTACACTTACCCAAATCCACACTGAGGCATATACATCAAGTTATAAACTATCAATTGTAACTCGATATAGTCTACCATTGTGTTTCTAATTTCTAGCCTTACAAATTTATATGCAGGACGTAAGGCATTTACATGATTCCGCAAGAAAGCAATTTCTTTCTGTTGAATCTTCTTCCGTAATTCTTTGTTACAAGTTGTTTGCTTCTTTATACAATTAAATGTCAAGGCGGCTTTTGACCTTTCCAAAGTGTATACAAATTTGAGTCAGAAATCACCAAAAGCCTCATCTAATTTCCTTTTATCAACAGTGACAAACACTGTTAACCTTTGTAATCACAAAGACCAAGAGTTCCATTTCCGGAAGCCTCAGTAACAGAAAGGAAAAAAGACACCCGGATACTTTTGATGTCATTTTATAATGCGCATATGTTTTCCACGGAAGTGATCAAAGTAAGCCAAATTACAGAATTCAATAACAGTAATCTGGTCTAAATTGCAAGAAATTGACCAAATTACCCCAGATCTACATAAATTAGTAGGAAAGTGGGCTGTACACAATCAGCTATTATTGTTATAGCGGGTCATTTAAGCTACGATTTACACAAAATGGGGTAAGTGTACGTTTTTTCCCTTTCTGCAATTTTCACTACTGTAATAGTGTACCAGTAGAAAGTGTCTTTTTTGCCACGTATACTGAGTGAAGTTAGATTGGCCTAAGGTAAAATATTTCTGTATTCCCTTGACCTATTTTATCAACAGTCATTTAACCCTCAGTAACTCCCTGCTATTTAAAATATTTCATCTGGTGGTCTGGGTTTGATAACGTCAACAAGAAACAACATCATAGAGATCACATCCTTTGAATTCTATAATAACGATATTTTTTAAGGTTATGATTTTTATTCATTGTACACCAACTAATCATATCATACAATGTATTCTTAGATGTGATTGTGACAATAAATTGATATAAAAGTTCAGGAAAAATCTTAACAGTCGACTAAAAATATGAATCTGTGTCTGCTATTTCACGGACCAAATAAATTATTGCACGATTCATGACAAATATTCCTTGCAAAATTCGAAAGTTGGAACCATTCCAGTTATAATCGCCTACCAACATTTAAATCGCATTGAAATATGAAGCAAATTTACCATTTCTGTGGGTTGGTCAACAAGGTAGGCTGTCTTTAAAACCAGCAACTTCCTAAAATGTTGTACCGTACACACAGTTTGCATTACAGATTTCACTTAATGTGACGACAAATAAAACGTTAATTTCTAAACAAAAGAACAACACAACAAAAACCTACCTGTGATTCAAACCGCACCGGACCTGCAACAACAATAAAACACACATAAATAAATATTTTGGCAAAAACCCGAGTCAGTATTCAAAGAAAGTCTTCATATAATCATTCTAAAGACTGCAAGGAAATTTTAGATTTCTTTATGTATCTATAATTTCCAGCGCATTGCGTATTACGTACCAGAAGTGTCTGTGCGGACCGCTCCCACCGACCCATCCTTCCGTAGCGCGACTCCCTCCCCCCCGGTAAACTGGAAGCACTCTTTCCTACATCTTCTCCAGTCGTCCTGTAACGATTTGGCACACTGGTAACACATCGCCCAAGCTTGTTCCTCGTTAATCGGCGCCCCAAAAGCCCTGAGAATCTCCTCCAAAGTGAATACATCCTTCTCCGTACGACCGACTTCGCCTGCAACCGGACTGGTCGCCATCTTGTTCAAATCTGACTCGTCACGTGACGACCATTAAATTTAGCCGCCAGGCGGCTGTTTTTGTTTACAAACCCGTCAGCCAATCACAGCCCGGGGTTTCTGAACAAGTGGGTAAACATTGCGTCATGACGCGAGGGGAACGCCCACATGGCGCGAAAAGGATGGGTTCCGAGTAAGTGAAAGTGATTGCGTAACTTGTGAGTCATAGTATGAAGAGGGAAAATGACACGGTTGTGTTAGTTTGTTTCTCTAGATCTAACGGGCTCCTTTTTGCGATCCATACAAATGTAGTGGTCTCTGGAGTTTAATTGCCGACTAAAGCCTGGTGTTAAAGTCGGACCACTGGGATATGATTTAGGCCAATTTCTATTTATTTGGCCTCAAGAGTAGCCGGCCTGGCAGTGACTATTAATGACTTCGACCTTTGCCTCCCTGCTGCAGTCACAAGCTATATCATTGCTGCTATGTGTGTGTTCTGACTAAATGCAAGCACAACAGGAATACAAAAGATTTGTGTCATCGCGTTGCATGCAGTCATCTTCCGGACCTGCCCTTTTGAAACATGACTCCTCATATGAATGTCGAAAGTTGCGGTGTAATGTAAGCAACTTATCTCTACACGCATTACAGTGATTACAGTATTAGTCAAAGAAAAGCCATTCAATACCGTCTTCATTCGCTTATATAAGAAGACTAATACAACGTAAATGGATCTGCCGAGGGGCGGGCCCAAAGTCGGCACTTTTTCTAAATCATATCAAGAAAAGTAACACGTGAGTTTCGTTGATTGACTTTCAAATTGTACGTGCGTGTTAACGTAGTGATTGATCGGATATTAAGGTCAAAGGTAAGCCGGCTCATACGCGACGTAATATCGGTATCGGGTAATACTCGTATCAGTACCAGCTTCGGGAAGCGACTGAAACGAGTAGAAATCGGCTACAAACTGAACTGTCTAGGGGACCAACTCCCCCGGCATGTTATCTCTTTATCAGGCCAATATCTACTCGTTCCAGCCGCCTCCCGAAGCTTGGTACGTAGAGGCTAAGGTGTACCCTAAATTCGCCACTTAATACTAGTACAAATAGGACAGAAAGCGTCCGCTGTATTGTAGTTGATCAGTGATGTTCGACCAGACATGAACATAGTATGATTTATGAGAAGTGAAATGTAAGAGACAAACTATGGATGTCAATGTATTGAAAGAAATCCTTTCTGTGTTACCAACCGTCCGTTCATTTCCTTTCAATTTCCTCCGCTTGCATGTCTGTCGGTCACAGACACGCAAATTTACGGATACATTATTTCATGCCATTTCTTTTCAATCAAAACAGGAAATCACAGATTTCAAACCTCCGGGAAGCGTGGGAAGCAGTATCCAGAGTTTCTTGTGAATTTACTTGCTCAGCCTAAAGGCCCCACCGGGACAGAAACCTTGGCTTGAGCTAAGCCGGAGGTGCACGAACAAGTGTAATCTTTTAAGATGATTGGATTATGACAAGTTATATAATAAAAAAGCGGTCTGATTAAGAAAAACATAAAATATAAATGTTAACAAAAGGATATGCAGGTCGCATTTATGAATGCAACATATACTGTACAGTACATTTAAATGGTCGACGGGTGGCACTGCTGGTGACATTCGCTAGGTGGCACTTCTGCATATAAGCTGTCCTTGGTGCTGAACGGCATATCAGCAACACCGGCAAAATCTCTGTGTAGCATTTGATTTGATTTGATTTATTAGGCTGAATAGGACATATGTATACATTACATGTCCTTATTCTGGAACGTGTGAACTACTGTTGACCCGCTTTGTCCTGTCAAGTACTACCACATTTTTTTTTTGATTTCTAAAAAATAAAACGCTTAGGTTCTGAATCAAGTCCAAAATGCTTTTTTAATTTTTAAATTGTAAACCGGCCTGTTATGTTGGCATCATAGCTTTTTAGATTACGCCTAAGTCTGTTATTATTTTTTTCACCCCATCACTTCAAAATTTTTTTCTGCAAAAATCCAAGAACCAACAAATCAAATTGGTGTGACCTGAAGTACTTTGCTGCATAGGTTGAAAGAAGCAGCGCTTGCTCAGTACTGTTCCTAGTTCATCACGCTTTGAACACACAAACTTGAGTCTGTATAGCATTTCATATTTATTCAGTAAAATTCTTGACCTCCTTCTTCAACATTCTTTGAATAATACATCCTGACAGAATCCACCATAATAAACTCCAGAGCTGCAACATTTGTTTTCAACTCATTTCTTCACCATTCAGGACAATTTCCCTTCATACTATTATACTACATGTACTTCTTGGTTCATACATAGGCTGCTTAAAAGATGTACATATTTACAAGCACCTAACTAATGTACTAATGTGACATGTACATTGAATCTAACTAATAAAAGGAAGAAGATACAGATGTGCCTACAGTGTCTTAGCTTTGAACTTAAAGTTTTCTTCTCTTTCCCAAGACAAACTCAGCTCACTCTATTGTATAATGTAACTTTATAGTGGGATCTATACATCTAGACCTGTGCTTGGACAGTATAATCCTGCTTTTCAACACTTCTTTTGCCAAGCAGAAAGTTTTACTGAGCAAAAGCTATTTTGTTTTATCAGCCATCCCAAGAGTCAGCCATCTTGCTTTTCACTTTTCTTAAAAACAGATGCAAAACAGTGAAAACACAGAAGTAACTTAAAATAGCCTCAAATGGCTAAAATGTTTGATAAACTACTTGAAATGGTGACCACTTGGGTACATCAGTAGTAAAAACACGTCATTTCAAACTGAGAAATCTTGGTATACAGTAGATGAAGCATAATAAAATGCCAACATTGCCCACTGTTACAAGAAGCGACGTATATTTGCTTTTGCAAAATCAGAACTAAACACATACTCATCACTGATCCATTGACATATGCACTTATTTCACATGTACACCTAAATTCATGGTCAACAAATGTACGACAGTATGCAGTAGTGGTCCCAACACAAGACACCAACAGTAATGCCAGTAACATTCGAAAAGCCAGTGTATTCTTTAAATCCATTTGTTTGAGTATGAATACATGTACATGTATGTTAGTGTGATATTTTTTTTAATGAAGAATTTCTCTCCTGTAACACAACAAATATCTTCATATGAATATTAGTTGGCACATGTTTATGAATTTGTTAGTATCATTGACTATATGTCCCAATAATGTTAATGATATTTCCAGCATCAGCATCATAGATGCCACAACTTTTATACTGTCATAAGCTATGGTATTAGGCATTTTGTAATGTGCATTTTAAGAAAAGTAAAGGGTTTCTTGATTTCAAGAGAGTGACAACAAACTCTATCCATACAACATTCAAATTACACAGAAAAGCAGGAATATGAAAACAGTAAGACACTATTTTGGCCTGCTTTCAAGTTATAACATTATACCATACAACATTCACACAAGAAAAGCAGGAACGGCAAAGGACACTGTTTTGGTTTGCTCTCAAGTTTGCAGGTAAAACAATTCTCGAGTGTCATGAAAGTTCATCTTTGTTGGTAGTTACATGTTTGAAGTTAAACCTCTTGTTCCAACAAAAAGAGTTTTCTCACCTAGAGCTTTTGACCAGTCACTCTGGTCTTCTTAAATAGATACTTTGACCAAGTGTTGATGTCACACTTGAGAGAAGACACATGACAAGTCTCACTGGGTCAGAAGACCAGAATGACTGGTCGAAAGCTCTGGGTGAGAACAACTCTTGCAGTCAGAACAAAAGTTTTAACTTTTAACAAATTCTCTAGTGTAAAGTTTCATGTATTGTCTTTGAATCTACACTGAAACACAGGCTTGCCAGCATTGCACAGGTCCTCTCCTTATTATCGGAATTTTGTTGCCACTAAAATAATAAACATGATAATAACTATGACAGCCAGTACCAAGATCAGCAGCATTTTTCTGTTCTTTTTCTGGTATTTCTCTGCCTGAAATGGAGTTGAAAAAAAAAGACAGTTAAATAACAGTGCAAAAATCACTTCTCAAAAGATTTATTCAAAATCATCAAAGATACAGAAGCAAAGCATAGATATTTACAAGTATCACAAGTTGGTTTTACCCACCTTTTGTAATTGCTGTAGGCCAGAGTCTACTTTAGTAGCTGTCTGCTCAATGTTGTAGTCTATTCTGTCTAAAACTGTACCCTGTAAGATGTGGAAATAATGGTAAAATGTAAATGGCAATATTACAGAGGCAAATGGCAATATTAGAGCTATCTACCATGCAAAATTTGACACTAGCATGTTCAGATCATGAGATATCAAGACTAGAAGTTCCACTGCAGTACCATAACAAATTGCTAGGGTGGCCCAAAATCAAATCATTTCAAGGTCTCATTTAATGATCTAAAAATTAAAGAAAAACTGACCTGTTCCACAACTATCTGTGCCAGATCTCTGAAGATCTCGTTGAGATCTGAGATGGATTGCACGATCTTGTTGATCTCCCGTTCTCTCTCCTCCACAACCTCCGAGTTCTCGTCAACCATCTGCATCTGTGCCGGCGTGAACCCCTGGGACAGAGAGGAGGAATGTGAGGCAGTGTGCTCTGGGACAGAGAGTTTACGACAATGCTTCACAGGGTTGTTTATACTAATGAATTATAGACAAAGAAAATGGCAATGCTTCATAATCAGGCTAGACGATATCTAGGAAATGAGATACACAAGGAAATTGTTACTCTAGTAGTACTATTAGTTCTAACATTTATTCTCACCTTATCATAGTAGTCATCCTTTACAAGTGAGCAAAGAGAGAGAAAAATGGACATTTTATTGCTATCACTGCAATGGAGCTTCCTAACTACTTGAATGATGGATAAATATTGTGCACAGCATAAAACAAATCTCCACAGTAACTCACCCTATCATACAGTTCATCCACAGCAACCTCCTCCTCTGTCATTAGTGAGCTGCCTGACGTGATCCCTGGCTCAAAAAACTGTCTGGAGCGCTCCTCCCTGTTCTTCAATCCTGGACAAACACACAGACATGGCTCAATCAAGCAATATTCCATGAAGCATGTTGGCACCTGCAAGGAACCCGGGTTTTTCACGGTTTTTGTTGGCTGTTTGGTCAACGTCGTATCAGAATTTTGTCTGTTGCTGACGATATCTTTTCTGACACAACAGTTGAAACCTATGGTCGGACACCTATCAATGTTCAGCAAATGACCAGATTCCAGGCTACAAACTTGAATTCGTACAGATTCTTGTATTAACCCTGAGTGTACTAACTTCTGAGATATGCAGACTGTCCCTTCCTGAACTGTATGGACAGGTCCTGCAGGTTACTGGCGTGAGATGACATGATGTTCTTGGTCACCCTCTGCTCCTGGGTCGACGCATAACGACTCTTGTTCCCGATGTTCTGGATGGCCCGTTGACATCTGTGAAACATCTAGAACCATAGAAAATAACACTTAGTGTTAGAATGCATCTGATTAGGATACGACATACTTGACATTGAGCATGGCTCAAAATGAATTTTTGGAAGTACACATGTAGGTGCATTAGTGCACACAATCTGTTACTGTTAGGTAGGGAGAAGGCTTTGTGTGAGTGAAGGCCCCATAGCCTACCTGTGTGATTTCCTGAGTGATAATCTCGATGGCGTGTTCCTCCTCCATGGAGTCATCCAGTGTGGGTCTGTTCATCTGTTTGTCATGCAGAACTGACAGCTCCTTCACTGGGGGAGGGGGGCAGAACATTCTGTAAATTCACTTAGATTCACAGGGGCTTAACTTTGGATGGAAAAGCTCTTTTTTCAGTGTTGAAGCAAATCTTAAGTACAGGTAGTAATACAATAGAAATGCATAGTATTTCTGGTGTCATAATTTTGCAGTAGAAACACAACTACATACATTTGTAGATTTACAGTAGTATTTTTCTTTGGTACACAATACCAGTAACTTCACACAAATGGAAGAGCCACAAAACACACGGAAAAAAGTAATAAAGGTTTTTTCAAATTTCTTCTCACTTTTTTGCCTTATCTTGGTAATCTCATAGCTGACATCTTCAACACCATCAACCCTGAAAAATAACAAAGGAAATATTTTCATAACAATAACACAATGGCAATGATTTCTGAACAATTTTAGTATGATCCATACTTCCTAGAGCCTGAGTGGTGCAGGTAAACCTTTTCTGGTGTAAGTAACTTACAATTTTCAATGTTACCTGCACCGGTACAGCACTGTACACAAAGGATTTCGAGCCCCAAGTAGTACATACTGAAGATGTAAAGCTTTTTACCAGTCTGGAGGGAAGGAGCTCTTGTGAACACCAATGGCAGCATCAGGGTCGGTGGAGATACCAGACACAAGGGCCATCCTGTCATCAGGAACCTGGGGAGGTAGGGGGCACGGACAAGAATACAATGCAGTGTATACTATCTAGTATTGTACAAGGGAGTCATTGTAAGCTGCATATTATGTGATCAGTCTATGTGTTATATGATCTGTCGACAACTAGACGTGTTTCATATGCAAACTATTTTGGATAAAATACATTTACACAATAATAATAATAATAATAAATGGAGAAAACAAAAAACACACATACACTTGCACACAACGGCACACATTTCAAGTAGTGCAGAAACGTTTTGCTTAGTACCTTTTTGTTGAAAATTTTTCTTCACTCAATTCAATTTTTTCTATAGCTAATAGACTGGACCTACTTATTCATATATAATAGGGTCAAAAGGATTACCAGAATCGTCCACGGCTAATAATAGGGATATGCGAAATACTATATCACCTGAATAAAACATGGTGCCGGTCACTTTAACATGGGACAGACTGGTAGGATATAAGTGGGGCAAATCAACTCGATCTGGAATTTTGGTAGGGAAGTTTTGGCAGTGTAAGTCTGCAGTTTGTAAAAGCCATAAAATAGACTGAGAAAAAACTTTATGATAATTTGGGAGGGGGTTGCATATAATAATTTTTTCAGAAACTAATGCATAATGTCAATTTGCTTGTCAAAGAATGAATACTACCAATACCTAGGTTCATTAGTTATGTGCCCATTTTAACTATAATAAGGCACATATTTTCTCTTATTTGGCGCCTATTGTTAGTAAAAACTGATGAATGAGGTCAAACCTTTGATGAAAAGGTGATCTTAGCGCGCGTTTCCATGCTAATTTTTACGTTGCACCTTAGAATTTACACCCCAGTCACCCAAACAACTGCATGCAAATGCAATGCAACTTTCTAACACCACTCTTGTGACCTAACAAACACCTGCCCCTATCGGTGCGACCTTTTCGTCCAAACACCAGTTTTGTGTAGACTCACTCACCGAAACATCATCTGCGGAACGGGTACTCACTTGCTCGGCGAACATGTGCCTGTTTTGCGCCGCATTATTCCTCATCAGGATAAAAATCTCCGTCAAACTCCGAGTCGCCATGGTGGTCTAGAGTCTTGGCCAGCAACCGACGAAAATTTTGTAACGATCAGATTCAAAATAGCTTGTAAAATGACGTTTTATTGCGAAAATCGCTAAATTTTTATTCCCTTGGCCGCCATGTTGGATCTGACACGTATCCCAACAGCCACCAGTAAATCACGTGACTTACCATCTCGTCCCCAGGAACTCGGGTCGCATCTCCAAGCAGATGTACATGTAGGATTCGGCCTGTTTTTGCTTGACTTTGTACTTTGTGCGTCTTTTTATATAGGTGTGCTTTTTTGCGGGGAAGGCGACGACATAGAAATGTGAACCACCACAAAACATGCATTAAACATCTGCTTGGAAATTACTCCACTCACTTGGGGGCTCACCATCCAAGATTTTTCGACGTATCCTCTTGAAATGTTGAATTGCAGTTGTCCATGTGACAGTATCCTCTTCAAACACTAACACATAAGCTTGTTATACACAACTTCACTCAATACATTATGATGCATTAGATTGACACAGTAGTATAAAACGTGAATCGGACATGACTTCTTTTTGTTTGATATGAGAGTTCACACAGGTGTTCACAGGTGGAACTTTCATTACCTTCGCCAAGAATTGGAGAAGGTTATGTTTTCCTGGCCGTGTGTGTGTGTCTGTCAACAGCATAACTCGAGAAAGCTTAGATGGATTATCTTGATATTTGGTAGATGGGTAGGTCTTGATGAGAGCTCGAACTGATTAGATTTTGGCCCCCCTGGCGGCTTGTCATGGTACTGCAGCTGAACTTCCGGTTTTGATATCTCATGATCCAGACATGCTAGGGTGACGAAATTTGGATGGCAGGTAGCTCTTGTGCTGGGGAAGAAGTGACGTGAGTTTGGGCCCCCTAGTTGCTTGCTCTAGAACTGCAGGGGGGTTTAAAGGACAAATGTTTAAAAGAGGATAACTCAAGAACCTATTGATGGATCATCATGATTTTTGGTATGTAGGTAGCTTGAGTAATGCTTGACATAATGATATTACAATTATGCAAATATGGATGTAATTTGCATAATTAATGAGGAAATTCTATTAATCAACTGCATTCCATGATAGGAAGTTCAAGCTTGCGACATATGTTATTAACAACGAGAGAAACACAGGCAGATATCGATTATGCAAATGAAGACTTAATTTGCATAATTAATGAGAAAATGTTATAATTGCATAGTGGTAACTGCCTGGAATTTTATACTTGGGGTGTTTGAAGTTTAGTGAAGGTAAACATAATTTAACATAACTTATTCAAATAAGGACCTCATTTGCATAATATATGAGGAAATGCTATAATGGCATTCTTTGTTAAAATAAGACTGTTGGTGGAGATCATGATCAACAGATATAATTCATGCAATTGCGGATCCTATTTGCATAATCAGGGGGATTAATACATTGTATATAAGTTCTCATTCATAAAAGCTAACATCATTTGGCGAAGGTATGAGATCGTGGAACTCTAGTTATACATGTAATTGTTGAAATGGCTACAAAATGTCAGTCATTCCAGGGCAGAAGGTATTTATTTCCCCATAAAATTCCACAACACAACTTTATTTTCTGGACAATCTTTACAAGTTATACAAAATACTGGATGCTCAGGGCAAGCTTTGGGTTCAATTTTCTTCTTGGGGTTTTAAACCATGAGGCCACACTAATTCAATTTGTTGCTTCTCAGATTTTTTTAGAAAAATATGAAATGACAAGGCAAAAAAAGGCCTAGGCATCCTATGACAGCCCCAAATACTGGCTTGTAAGGCAAACTATGAATTTCCAATTTTATTCAAATCACTGCATTGATAGATGGAAATTGTTTAAGAGCCTGAAATGTTTTTCTTTTTCAAATCTGTAAAAAAATGATGCAGGTGAATCTGAGAACCAATTGATAAAATTGGTGTGGCCTGGTCTGCATGTGTGGTTGGGGGTAGCAGTCCTAAGAGAGGGGATTCCAACTATAAGTCAACATTCCTGAGTTAAAGTCCTACCACATTTTTTCAAAAGGGCAGAGGTATACCGTATAACATAATACTGAGTTATATGTGTGACATAGGGATGGTCCCTGGCACATTTGACCAATTGCTGACGTCACATATCCGTAAAGTCTCGCGTGAATGATGTCACGTGTCCGTAACCGTAACTCTTGTGAGTTTACATTTGGAAGTGATTGGTCATTAATTATCCTGATGAAGGTGACAGTGGTCGTTGACTCAAATTTGATCATTGTGTACCCTTTGTGTTGGTTGGCATTAGCATTGTACAATAGGGATGGTCTCTTTAATTAATACTTGTAAATGTTTATAACAACCAGTCTGCTGCAGCAGTTATTACATTGTAATAATATAACCGTGATACTGGTTAGTTACAAGTAGTTGTAATGTTAGTGATGTCTAGCTACCGGCATTCATTAGTGAATAACCTTGTCATGTTTTCTTGGTTGTCTTAATTTTGTCATTTATCTATGTTATATTATAACTACATTTTTGTAGTGCTAGAAATTTATCATTATGGAAGAAATAAAAGGGTTGTTGTAGTGCAAACGTTCATAGTTTGCTGTCATTCTTTGTCCGTTTTGTTGGTAGAGTCGGTGCGTCAGAATCAGAACTTGACCCTGAGGTGTTGTCTGTCTCTCTGTCCGCAGTCAAGCCACGGGGCCTGCAGGAAGACAGAGAGACAGTCACACACTGCAGGGTCAAACTGTCATTGCAACATTACATATAAAAGCTACATATTTGGAATTTCATATCATAAGGTCATGCTGATTTGTGTTATCATTTGTATACCTGTTGGTTTTTAATGATTCTTGAGATAGACACTTGGGTAAATGTATTTTCAATTCAGTAGTTTCTATTTCAGTGGTAAGATTACAAAAAGGCATACTGCGTATTGTGAAGATTTAGCGTTTTGAAAAATATGAATCTGATGTAACAATGTGCTGAAATAGTTTTGACAAGAAGCAGAAGCTTGGTACAGAGGATGGGAGGTTGCATATAAGTAGGGACTGTGGCAATCTGCCAACTTATCCATTAGGATGCATTTTGTCTAATGGCTATTAAGCATAGTGGGTGTAGCTAGTCTTAGGCTTTGGATCTTCACTGAGGATTAGCATTTAGCCAATGTTTAGACTAAGTGAGCAAAATAATAGTTGTTGACTTCCTACAGAATTGTGTAGGCATGATATTTAAAAAGGCATAATATGATAATATGCAAAATTACTTCTTAACCTCCCCCCTTGCTCCCTATCACGGCAATGTATACAAATTGAATACAAAAAGGCCACCTTTGTAGTAAGCAGGTTAAAATTACTATCAATGATTGAAACAGATGCTCGTTTTTGAGAGACAATCAAATAAGAGAAAGTTTACGCTTTGCATAGACATAACATTTCCCTAAGATGTTCACATGTTTACATCTAATTTGAACTCTAATCTACCAGAAACACTCAAGTACTGCAATGTTGTGACTACTTCTCCAAATGATCTGTTGCTGTTGACAGTGTTGTTGTGTATAATATTTTTGGGAGTCAAATCACACAAAGTACAAAAGCTTGTTGTGTTCTCAACAATCAATCATTGTGTCATCACAAGAAACTGAGTGACAAACAGTTCCACTCTAACTTGACTTTTGGCTTGTGCTGTCTTGCTGGATGGCAGTTGTTGTAAGTCCACTTCTTGGTTGTCGAGGTGTTTGAGGCCAAAACACTCTAATTAATTGTTCCTTGAATTGGGTCACTGTTCCAGGTAAAGCCCTTGGCACACATTCAGAACCTTCCCCCCGAAACCAGCCAACCAAGGTTGACTTAAGTTTCCAAGCAGCCTGACCAGATTTAGGCCACGTTTTCTTTCTATACGAATCGAATTGAGTTTGAGTTAAATTTCAGTCAAATTTGAATACCAACCACAACCCTGCCTAATCCTGAACACCCCAGCCAACCATGGCTGAAATTTCCGTCTACACCAAATATTCCGCTGGCGCAGCCGAACAGTAACCGACCTGGCCTAACACCAGCCATCCCAACCTTGCTTCTGATGTACTCCTTACCATGTTTGGGGGGCATTCAGCTAGTGTTTGGGAGGCTTAATTCATGAATGTGTGACTGGGGCATAAGAAAGATCCCAGTAATGAATAGCATACCTACAGTGACATTGTAAAGATAACATGTACAGAAGTACTGTACAAAACCACCAGTATCAGTGAATTGCAGACTTTGGAACCTACAATTTCTGCAACCTTTTTTATAATGATGTCAAGGTTTTCATAATTCTATTGTCAAAGAAAAAAAAAGAGAAAGTGTCATAACACCTGTGAGTAGAGATAAAACAACAAAAAAATCCAACCATTCAAAAAGAGTCCAGAAGTTGAATGTACAACAAGAGATGAAACATAATTTGTATTAATATTCAGACAAAACCGTACAAAGTCAAAACATGAGCAAGACGTCACATGTTTGTGCCATTGAAACAGGGTTACACAGGATATTGAAGAATTCATTCGACATGTCCCACTGTAGTTTTTAACTTGCTGGTATACATCATTAGAAGATTTGCATTATCATTTCTGAAATTTCTTGAAGGAATAGCCCAGTTTGCTGATTGGTCAGATCATGTTTCAGATCATCAATTTGACCAATCAGCATCCTAGAAAGGATTTCAGGGACAAGTCCAGCGTGTTGATTGGTCAGACCATGTTTCCTGTGCATGCATAATCTGACCAATCAGCATCATCTAAAGAAAGGCAGGGACTAGTCCAGTGTGTTGATTGGTCAGATCATGTTTCCCGGGTATGCATAATCAGACCAATCAGCATCCTGACTAGGAGGACAGACACAAGCTAACATACATACATGGCTTTGAAGTTGGATATCTGATCTGGGTACAGTTACAAAACAACAATGTCCACGCAATCTTACAATGTAGTCACCTTAGTCCACACAACTAAACACCTGTTTAACATAGGGGGTTCTAAGAGAACAAAAGAGACAATTTCAAAACAATGTGCAATTTTGTGAAATAGATTTGCAGGATTTAACACAAATCAAGCCATAGTCAAATATTGAATATCTGACGGGCCATTGTCGCCAAGTATGCTTAGCTTTCTGATCCACAAATTTACATACAAGTTTGCCATTCGATGTTTGAGTTTTTTTTAGCTAACTGTGGCCAACTCTAGTTCTGGAACATTTATCAGAATGAAATCCAACGTCCCACCATGTGAAGAAAAATTATCTTGAGTGTTTTAATAATAAGATACAATGAATGGATCCTTTACAGAGACTATAATGTAGCATGTGAGGTTACAGTACTGGTAAGGCAAGAAGGTGCAACTTGAGAGATGAAAAAAAGTTGAACTTGTTGTTTCCACTACATTTTCAAACAAATTCTCAGATATTTTCTGCAGTAACTGTTCTGGAAACTTTCAGTTGTCTCCAGAAAAAAAAAACAATTCTTTGTCCTGAAAAAAAGTTTTTGAATTTCCAGGGTAAGAGGAATACAATGTACTAAGTACTTATCAAAGAAGGAACATAAGCACTATAGTACAAAGTTTACAACTTGACACCTTAAAACTGGCATACCAAGATAACCATATACATAACAGAACACCATGTTTTACAAAAATACCGTACAAAAACATTTTCATGGAGAGCTAACACCATGCAGAAATTATACAATAATGCCAAATGTACAATATACAAATAAAAGAGAGGGGGGCATTTTTCGACCTCTACTAGTGGGTAGAAAAAACTTATTCCTAGTCCTAACTCTAGTACATGTACCACGAACATACAGTGATGTACACTTAGAACTGAAAGGTTTTGAAATTTCAGGCCGCAACAATGTATACCTTCTTATCTGTCCTTGTTTTAACATGATTGTGTGTCCTTGTTGCCATTACCAAAAAAAAAACATGACTGGACAGTAAAAAGAACATACAATGTACAATGTACATTTTGTACTTGTGACAATGGCCCATCTAGCGAGGGTTTTCCAGAAGTGTATACTAGCAAAAAGCAACTGGATATGATTTTGGAAACAGTCATCCACTACCTTTCGCCGGTCACACTGGTGAGATCTCAAGAGTGATACTACCTGAAACGTCTGACAGTTTCCAAAATCATGTCCAGGTGCTTGTAACTTTTTTGGCATATCTTATTACCTGGATGTCCAACCTTCATGGAGGAATCAAGGCATGACACAGATAAACTAATACTTGTCAGCCCTGTTTGACCTCGGAAAAAAAACTGCCTCTTTTGGGCATCTTGAATAACAGTTTACCTAAAATAAGTAGGTAGTCCAATTTCTGTAGGGTATGTAGTAGGAGCACACGGTCGTAGCACTATAACTGTATTCTGGCCACTTTTCCTTACACTTCTCAAAAAGCCTAGCTATTCTGAAATAGTCTCTTAGATTTCCCACTCCACCTCAAGCCTCTTGCCAATTATCATACCCTAATAGGGCGATTTCTGCAACTTTTTTCCCAGTAAGAGTGGTATGTCTGGAAGAGACGACTCCTGTCCTGCCATGGCATGTTATCTATTAAGTAATTAATTGAATACTGCATGTATGTTATGTTATGTATTTATGTGTGTTTGTGTCTATTGTAAGAGGAAAAATTAATCATCATACAAAATTCAGGGCTTAAAATACTTTTTTCTGCATACCGTTACCTGCACTGGTAACATTGAAAATTACCTGCACCAGACCAATTTTACTTGCACCACTCTTTAGGGATTTTGAAAGTATGGATCATCCTAAAACTGTTCAGATATCATTGCGATAATTTCTTTTACCCTTCAGAAGTGGTAATAGTCAATGCAGCAATTAAAATCCACATGCACCTTCATGTACAGTATATGTAAACTCAGTACATGGACCAGTGCAGGTTAGGTGCAAGTAGACATCAGAAATACCTGCACAGCTCCAATTTTACCTGCACCAAGGTGCACACGCACCCAGTATTTCGAGCCCTGAAAATAATACACCATGAGAAGATGGAGATACATGGTTTTGGGAAAGAACTGATGTACCTTCTACCATCTGTTACTACTGAACAAAACATTACATGTAACAGTTAAGTGTTAAAGTGTTGATCATGGCAAAGGTACAATAATGTACTGAAAAGTGTCTGTTTTTCCTCTACAGTTAAATTTTTTTCCCTTCCCAGACTCCCCTTGCAAATCAAAAAGAAAAGTCACAGAAAACACACTTTTGTGGCTTTGTTAGGTAAACAAGAATGGCAGAACATCAAAACCAACATGAGAGGGTTATTCCATTTGCCACATGAACAGAGGGGTGCACCCTCATCTTTTAACTAGACGCTTCCACTTTCATTTCTTTACAAAGTTCTGCCTCAACTCTTTCTTTTTTACTTATTTACTCGCAGACTTTTCCTTTTCAGTTTTCCATTCCATGTCCTTCCTTCTCACATCACCCCTCCATGTCTACAATTATGGTTTAACCCAAATGCACAAGTGTACTACAGTAAACTGTCTTGGGCCAGTGGAAGCTGTGATAGGGGTCTTGGGTATAACAGACTTGTGGCCAATATGCTAAGACTGAGGTAAATAATCTTGGTCTTCCCCTAATCTCATCCTCAAAGTAGCCAATGAGAAGTTGGGACAAATTCAAACGATTTACTCTCTGATTGGTTTTGGAAAGAGCCAATCACATGTGATATAAGACGGGACCAATCACATTGCATAATTTCCTGCACAGGGGCTGACCTGTATTTCAGGATTCCTGTGTGGCTTTTTCACAGTCATACATCTTTCTTCTGAATTCCACACATAAAGGTTGAAGGCACTTTATTTTCTGATGAGTCCAGGCTTCCTGAAAACCCCTTGTTGTAATCTCCATGCATAGGATACTCAACACCCCTATGTCAGACTCCATTCACTACAGAATGTATTAACTGAAGGTGTTAAAACTTGACAATGTGGTGTCAGATAACTTCCACCACTTTCTCTAGTACCTCAACCATGTGATGTTTTGTGTTTACATCTGCACACATTTTCCTTCCGAAGTTCTCTGAACTAACAGTCCTACTACCATTACCCTACGAAACTGCCTGAATCAGCAACTGTTAAACCCCCTTCATATCCTCTCCCTTGCCGTTTGCTATGTACAACACTTCAAGCAGGTCCCTTGTAACTGTAACAAGAAACTAGACACCCCTTATATTGTCAGCATGAAATAGTCCACGTCACAGTTGATACATGTACTTTGCACATAAAGGAAAATAAGAAGTAGCATAGGACATTGCAGAGAAACAGAGAGATAGCCTCCCCCCAAAAGGAATTTGGACAATGCTTTCCCTTTGTAAAATTTGTGCCAACATTTCCAAATGGGTAAAAGGTGAATAGAGATGGACTATTCCACGTGAGACAAGGGGTGTACAGGTTCTCTTGTCTGCCCTTACATACTAGTGTACCATCTGTGCAACAAGTACAGCCCTCCTGCTAAGGCCACCCCTATAGATGCCTGAATAAGAATAGGCTTCCAGAATAACCACCTTTCCCTGTCCGCCTCCGTCTTGCGTTGTTTTCTCTTCATCTCAGCCAGCTTCTCCGACGTACTGCTTATCCTCTCGTCTCGCCTTCTTTTCCTCAACTCTGCTTCTCTGGGGGCGAAAGGGAAATGTATCTCGATGATGCTTGGCTTATTGGAAAGCTCATATACTGTAAATCACTTTATATTCATGGTACTTTTATATCCACAGTTTTTGCGGTCACTTCTGTACTGCGAATTGATCATTACCTGCTAACATATTTGCTTTCTTTCTTTCTTCTGCTAACATTTAGTTCTGCGAACATTTCCATTTTTCTCAAATCGTGAAATTTTGCTACCCCAATATAAAGTGATTTACAGTAATTATTCCAATGGTGATGACAAGAAGGACTGTTGCTATGTGGTGATGTGATGCTGTTTCCAGCATTTTGAGGGACAAATTTTGCTTTCAGTCTAAACTTAGTTTAATGGCATCTCTTTCAAGACCTTTGCACACCGATATTTGTCCGTAAAACATGACAGATTGGGCACATAATTGTCCATCATAAGCAGCAAGAATTCCGTCAAATGATGGAAAGACTGGCGCCAGCTAGAGCATTGGTTTACACATGCACTGATTCTGCAATTGGCAGTTTTCCCAAAATTCTTGTTTTCGTTACAGACATGGGTAGATGTCAACTTTGACATAAAATCCAGAGGAAGTTCCAGGAAGGTTGCAGCACTTCCCAGAAACCAGCCACCAGGGGAAGCTAAGTCATGTTACGTGACTTGATATCTAATAACTGTTAGTACGTACATACGCACCACAGTAGTTTGCTGTGGATACATCAAGTCCGCACTTGCTGCCAAAATGCTGGGGTCTAGGAAATGTTGTGTATCCGGTTACCCGACCGACCCTAGCAAAAACCCTGACACAAGGCTTTTTTGGGTTGGCCGCCACGACAGACAAAAATTTACTGAGACGTTCTTTAGCGCATTTTCAGAAGCAAGTTTTTGTTCAATAAATCGGGTGAAATATTTGGCTACCATCATTCATTTTAAAGATCAATTCTGAAACAATGGGATGACTTTGCTTCTTTCTTCTTCATTTGAGTGGTTTACACAAGGGTAATAGATAGAAATATAAGGGCAATAAACAAAAACACAAGGGAAAGAAACAGGAGTTTGAAAAAGTTTGTGTTGCCAGAGACACAGATGTGAGTTCTCACCTCTGTCTCTCCCTGAGCCGTTCTGTGTCTGTGGGATCTTCTGGCTCGTACTCAAACTCCAGCGGCTGGGCGCGCTGTCTGGAGCTGCGGCGGGACGGGTCCCGCGGGGGCAGCGGCGGCGGCTTGTCTCTCGTGTTCTCCCCGTCATCATCGTCCTTCGTCACAAGGTGGTTGTGTCCATCTTGTAAATCTGCGCTCTGAGAGAAAACAAGCAAAGATACAGTGAGACTGGATACTGAGTATGTCCATGATGATTTGATTACTAGTACATGGATGACATCCAATAATGATGCGAGCATGCGAATAAAAAAAGTCTGGCGGAAATTCACGCGCGCGCGGATATCATCCATATCATAAAATCAACATGGCCTAAGTGTTCCTGCCAGACTAGTGCCTGGGTATCTTTGGACATCCTTTTGTTGTGGTTGATTCCAGGGCCAGGGTCCGATACAAGTACAGTATACATTGTACTTTTATCAAATGAATGAAGACCTTTATTGTACATTTGTGTTCTACAGAACTAAGTACAGGTCGCATGAGTACAGAACATGAACATAAACATATACATTACAAATATATGAACATATAAGAGTGTAAATAAATGTCTAATTTCTATTCTTTTCGGCTTCATCTCGCTTGGTAGTGATTGTATGGACATATGCGGCTGTGAGATTACTTAGAGTAGGTTTATCAAAAGTTAAAAGGAATACAAATTTCTCTTTACTAGACAAATAACTAAAGTGGGGAAATATACTTAATACATGGCTAAAAAATATGAGTCTATCTCTACTATACAAGGGGCAATCTATGGTGAAATGTATTTCATCTTCTATTCGGCCTAAACTGCAGAATTGACAGGTTCTTTGTTCTAGAGGAGTGCGGTTATGTCTTCCTGATTCGATTCGTAATTTATGACAACTGATTCTTAGTTTTGTAATGGAGGACCTGTGACGTATGTTCGCTAAGTTGAGATATTTTTCTTCGTTATAGGAAAGCTTTAATAATCTGTTTATCAGAACACATTAAAACTCCTAACAATGGTCTTCTCTGATTTCGATAAAATTTAGTCAAAGGTGAATTTCAGCCTCCAGACAGGCTGTTCACAGTAATAGTTAAACAATTTCTGTCCTGTGTAGAAGTTAATGCACTTGATCCGATAGGCAAATTTAGTTACCTCTTGATAGTTGACAATCCTTATCAGAATACGTAAAGTACATACTCTGAGTACATTACCAGACCAATGTTCTAACACACAGATTGTAGTATAAGGCCTTGGAACGTTGTATTTCTGGTTTCACTAAATCAGTCCTGAAAAAAACTATGGTTGGTGGGTTGGGATTTTCTTTTCCTTTTCAGTTTCTTCTTGAGATTTTGGCTAAAATGATCCAACAAATCAAGTGCAAAAAAACGTCCACCTGTTTGCTTGTGGACAAACATTTCACCCAATTTACTATAGAAAAAAATTGCTTCTGAAATTGCATTTAATGACGTTTCAGAAATTCAGGGGTTTGAAATTCAGATGTCAGATCAAAAATGTACACCACCAATTGATTAAAAAAGGTTAGGGTTGGTGGGTTTTTGCTAGGGTTGGTCGGCAAAACTGGAAACACAACATTTTTTCCTAGGCCCTTAATCCTAGGTCAGTATGCTAAAGCACAAAGACCTCAGTTTCAGCATTATTAAAAACATGGTATAGACCAGAGCACTGGCCTGGTAATATGCTGATAGACCCACAGCACAGACATTATATATTGAATAAAACATTAAGTATGTCTACAGGGAGAGTGGGGGATTTGATCACAGCATGGGGGAGGGACACAGACACGCACTGTATTATGTTTGCTTCGTCAAGTGAACTGAAAAACAGACGAAACGCACGAAACTGTCATACAGTAGTCTTTTCTCATGAACTGTGGCAAAGTAAAGATTTCAATCAAGCATCTCCTAAATGTGTCCTTAAGTCAAAATGGGCTGTGTACCTAACAAATGTCAAAAATGTCAGGGCTCAGATACGGGTACAGGGGTTCTTTAGAGGTACAGGGGTTTAGGTACATTGTACTATAAGGTACAGTACAGGGGCTTAGGCATAGGCGCCCTGGGGTTCAGATACAGGTACAGGGGTTTAGGTACTGAGGTGCTGGAGTTTAGGTACAGGTACAGGAATTTAGGTACAGAGGTTTAGGTGCTGAGGTGCAGGTGTTTAGGTATAGGTACAGGTGAGGTTTAGATGTTTAGGTACTGAGGTACATGGGTTTAGATACTAAGGTACAGGGGGTTAAGGTACAGGTACATGTCTAGAAAGGGAAGCTTTAAGACAAATGTGCAATTTGACAATTTTCCAACTTTGATTTCCATGATGTGGTAATCAAAAGACAGAAAGAAAGTTTACAACTGGGACGTGTGGAGGCCGTGGTGTACTTGGCAAACATCCCAGCACGTTCACCTACAGGGGATTGCTAGCCTGACTAAATTGCTCTCCAAGCGGCCTGCCTGTCAACTCACTGACCCCATATACCCCCAGACAGACAGAGATTGTGTAATACAGACTCGGGGCTTTTCTTAGAATCCTAGCTTCCCCTATAATGCAGAACTTGGGTCAAACATGGCAAAGCCTGTTCCTAGAAAAATGGATTATTATCTGCTATCTTGGAGTAGCCTGGAATCCATCCGTGAATGCTGTGTCTCCGCTCCGTTCCTCCGCTCTGCCTTGGAGGTAACTAAACAAAGGATCCTATAAATGAGCTGCGCTGTACTTCCGCCCTGCAGAATGGAGTTCTGAGAAATTTCAGTTACTACTGGCAGACTTCCGATGAAACCAAATATTGTTGGAGTAAATCATCTGACTGGAAGGAGAAATGAGGGGAAACCCGGTAACACTTGTGGTGGGAGGGAGTGTGTGGTGGGGAGATTCATTTAATGTTATCAACAAAAAAGTTAATTGTCTCTAGAAAAGTGCCTGGGGCTCACTTATTGAAATGATAATTTTAAACATTTCATTCATTCTTCAATGTGAAGTCAGGAAGAGTTTGCCTTTTTGTCATGTATATTATGTTTATCTCATATCCATGGTAACCAGGCAACTCTGTTTCCAGTCTAATTTAGATATTTTCAATCATATCAAATTTCATTTCCAATTTTTCTCCAACTGTCAACAAAGCTTCGGTGCATATCAATTTGTGCATTCTGTGGCCATTGCAGCCATTCTGCAATGGTGCCATGAAAATTCACTTCTGTACCGCAAACTTATCATTGCCGCCATCGTAAACATATAGTTCCGTGAACACCATTTTTCTCAGACCGTGAACTTTTGCTACCGTAAGCAAAAGTTTGTGTGTAATTTACAGACACTAGTGGCTGGCATAAACAAATACAAGAACTTCTCAAAGTGTTCAAATTTTAAGTATCAAGAAAACCTCTGCAGTTCCCATGCAGGTAACAGAGAACTGCTGGTATTTAGCTTGAGTTGAACTGTTGGCCATTCTGGAATCAGGAACTGACTGATTTACGACAAGTGAATCCACAGGTCACTTGGCTTGGCAAGAAGTTTGGGAGCCATTTGGCTTACATCCGAGTGCATGGAAAGGTAAAGTAAAGTAGCAATCCTCTATTGAGGCATAAAAAAACACAAATATTTCAAGATTGACAGTATGTTATGACAGTAGTGAAGGGACCATAATGTAGAGGAAAGCAAGCTCTTTCAAATGATATGTGAGAGAGTGTATTTGCAATTTCAATAGAGGTAACAGTGTATGTTTCCAACATTGCACCTGCCGCCATTGTGAACTCACTGTTCTGTGAACACCTCCATTTTTCTCAGACCGTGAAATTTTGCTACTGTGAACATAAAGTGAACTACAGTTTCAAGACAGTTTCCAACATTTCCACTGAAACTTTCAAAATTAATTTCTACATTCAATGTGTTTTGTCAAAGTTTTGGCTTTCTGAAACCACAATTATAGATCAGTGTCACAGCCCAAGTGTAATTTTGTTACAGTTCACAGCAGTGAATTACAGTACATGAGGGTGTGCCGTACCTCCTCCCCGAGTGTGTTGATGACGTCGTCCTGTGCGGTGGCCATGCCCAGGATGGTGCGCGCCCCCTCGATCACGGCGAGGTACGAGAAGCGTAGCTGGTCGGGCGTCTGGATCAGACCCATCCGGTACTGTCTCATGTCCAGCAGCAGCCGACGGATGTTCAGACTGTTCAGGTCCCGCGTCTTGTCCAGCTGTGAACCGGCATGTAGAATCAATCAGTGGTAGAAATCCTTTTGTTCAACATTTTGCGGAGAGGATGCACAACTCGGCACTACCCTTACTAGGCAATTACGATTCATTAGTCGAGTCGCGTGTCCCAAGGTCACATAATTGAAGTCCTGCAGAAGTTCGACAGACGTACGACTGAAAATTTAAGGTGAGGAACGGTCTACTGTTGAACAAAAGTACTAATATATAACTTCATTATGGACATTCAACCATCCCCTACTCACCAGTACTAAACAGGTGTCCACTAAGCAGAAGACCCCTGACCTGCCGATCCCTGCGCTACAGTGCACCACTGGGGGTCCCACGTCCGCCTCCAGCGACCCAGAATCCCGCACCTCCAACAGGAAGTGCAGAAAGGCTGCCGGGGATTCTGGGACACCAAAGTCGGGCCACCTCGTGTAGTGAAAGTGAAATACTTTTCTGCTCTCGTTGGTCTGGTGGGAACAGAAGAATAATGTGATCATCTCTGGAAGGTCACAAAAGACGACGTCACATAAGGCCTAGGAAAATTATTGTATTTCTACTTTCAGTCCTGAAAAAACTAGGGTCAGTAGGTAGGCTGAAGGAAAAAATTGCTTGATCAAAATACAGGCTAGGGTCGTCAGATTTTGGCTAGGATCAGTCAGGAAACTGGAAACACAACATTTTGTCTTCGAGACCTAAATAATATAAAGAACCTTGCGTGACAACAGACCCCTCTATGGTTAGCTGATTTAGATGTCACAAATTTACAGCATCTTAAAGTCCACATTACTTTTTTTTTACTACTGACCTTTTAATTTCTGTACTGACCTTTAACCTCTGCAGCAGGTAGGTCCTGATGGTGAAGTAAGGTCTGACGTCCTCCTCCAGTAGTGTGACCTTGTACCCCGTCTCCTCCAGTTCAAGTTCATCCGAATGACCGTTGACCTCACCTTGAGGCCAGTACTGAGCACATTTGATCTGGAAGAAGTCCACAAGATATAGATGCTTCGACGACGGATCACCTCTCTATATATATGTATACAAGCCGTCGACTGTCTTAACGACAATTTTTGTCAGTTCCAATTTTTCCCCATAGTCGTTTAAGGAGTTGCCTTAGCAGACCACTTGTCCAACGCAACAGCAACTGGCACTGTTAGGACGGTACATGGCCCAATCTCTGCCTATGACGACTGTTTTAGTTCCAAGTGTGTGGCAGAAAACATTTTTTAATGATAAGGGACAAATACAACCCCTCACACCATTTTTAAGTATTTTTCTCCAATTCAAGTTCCATTTGTCAACATCATCCATTCCTAAGATGTATTTCAAAAAACACACAGCCCGAGAACTAAACAACGGCACTCACTGTTCCCTTCTCAATGACCCTGTTGAGCATGACGACAGCTTTTGTGCGCTGCTCCCAAACCATTTCCCAGAAGTGACCTATAGTGGACGGAAGTGGTCCCTGGACACAAACAAACGGCATGGAATAAACACATGGAGTGGGTACTGGTGTGTTTTTGTAATATTTGCTCCTAGATGATGTATTTTGATACAAGTTCAAGGTTCAAAATACCCACCTGAATAAGCAAGTGAGTAGGGCTTGAAAGACTGGGTGCATATGCACCTTTGTGCAGGTAAAATTGGAGCCGTGCAGGTATTTCTGATGTCTACCTACACCTAACCTGCACTGGTCCGTGTACTGGTTTTATACATACAAGCACAGATACATACACACATATATACATACAATAATCATAGGTACATGTACATGAGCATTCAAACATTCAAAATTCTCGGTACAAGTTAAGGATAGAGAACGTGGTATGCATTAACACAGTGCATCTCAGACACAGCAAGTCTACCGTGACAGTAGCACGATTTTTCCTGGAAAGACCGACTACAAGACATTCTACAAGTGTCAAGAAGGGCAACTCCAGACAATAGTATTTTGTACTTAGTGATGCATACCTAAACCCAATTTTAGGTTCAGGTCCGGATTCAAGTCCAGAGGTTTAGGTTCAGGTCCGGACTTGTAAGTCCACACCTAAACCCATGACATATACAAAATTGCATGTTGGCAACCTTGCAATGTTGTCTGGGTGAAACTTTGGCCACATAACATGGAGGCCGGTACTTGACGATGCCCGATGGCAATGTTTTCTTCGTTTTGTAGCAAAGATTTTACAATCTACGGAAGGTTTTAGGTGGTTTGGAAGGAAAAGGGGTATGTGAAATTATGGTCTTTTATGGTAATAAGTCCAGACTCGGTTCTTGACTTTTAGTTTTTTTTTACTTGAACCTAAACATTCTTTCAAGTCCGGATCCAAGTCCAGTGAACCGGTATGCATCACTATTTGTACTGGTACAACTGGTAGTGTCCTCTACCACTGTGCTGTACAAACTACCAGTCCACTGTTAATGTTATTAAGTTAAACAGTTTTCTTTGATCTTTGATAACTAGTTTACACTCTGTCGAGGGTTAATTGGTTACCAAAAGGTAACTAGAATGCTGTCACCTTTGTAAGTTTGTATGGTGATGAAAACCTAGTTTGCAAGTCCAGGTAGTAGAGTGGGCAACTTATGGACTCAGGTGTGCTTTATGTAGGCATCCAATGTAATTTCAGGGTGGCAAAACTGGAAAAATCTGGTTTTCAAGCTCTAAAAACTGCATTGGGCACCTTTAAGAATGTAGGTGTATCTTGAGAATTAATCTAGGCTTTGAGTGTGTCCCAAGGATTAAAAGTGTCTTGAGAAGGATTCAGATGTGTCTTGAGTATTCAGGTATGTCTTACCTGTGCGAGAATGTACTGTCTATTTGCCTCTGCTGCCTGGAAATAAGAACAACACGACCATGGGTTAAGCACTAACTGTGTCCAAACAAGCCCAACTACCCAGCCACTGTGGTTCACACATTCAGGACCTTCCCCCCACCTCGCCCCGAACACTAGCCAACCACCTTTGGCTGACATTTGGGGTGACCAGATTTAGGCCATGTCTAGTACATGTAGCTTTATATACAAATCAAAACAAATTTGATTTAAATTTGAGTCAAATTTGACCCCAAAAACTGCTGACTTACTCCTGAATGGTTGGCTGGTGTTCTGCTGACTTACAGCGGATGGCCAAACCTCTCGACCAACCCCCAAATGTTTTAAACATTTTGAAACGTTTTGCTGGTGCAGCCGAATAGTACTCTGCCGACCTGGCCGAACACCAGCTGACCCAGCCGACTTTGTTCTGACCTACTCCCAACCATGGTTACAGGGTGTTCAGCTAGTGTTCGGGAGGCCAAACTTGTGAATGTGTGGCAAGGGCTTTAACAAGCATGTAAGTTCAATCTGACAGCTACTGCCTGCTAAAACCATTATGTCCATGCTACGTATGCACGGCATACATCCCACCACAGAAATAGAACACATATTATTAAAAAGCAATGTAGAAGTGACTGCAACTGTGATTAGCCTATATTCCTCTCTGCACGACAGTTTCAGTCAAAAATACATGTATTTCAGGGGAAAGGCCATAGTTTATGTAATGTAACCTTCTTCGATCACAAAAATTATAGTCATTTTATACACAATTAATTTTTAGTCACACTGCAAGACAAACATTTGGAACAATTTAGCAAAACATATTTCAGCATTAGAAAATGTCATAAATCTATCTACACTTATTTTAAATTTTGGGTGGCCTTCCCCATATCAAAGTACATTTTGACCATTTCACCAAGCATCATGTGAGCAGATATGTGGCCTCGATAAGTGTTCTCCCAGAAATAATTGACCACTTTTCTTAGAACTGTTGAGCTAACAGTGCACAATTCTGAGAAATCTGCCTATGGTGAAGTGGAATTCTTGGATTTTAGTAACAGCACTGACGGGAACTGAATATCACTTCAGCTGGCTCTATAAAGATTCACTAGCTCAGTTTATAATAAAATAGACGCAATAAACTGTACAGAAAAGTGTTTCTGTTTTGTCTTACCACGACGAGACTTGCATTGATGTAATCGTTATCACCATCTTGGAGTTGTACCCTGCTGTGATCGTCTGAAATCACACCATGAAATATACAAAATAACAAAGATTTTGTACAAAATATACAACCTTCTTTTCCATGTATTGGATTTATAGTAACATGTAAGAGTATGTGGATTTTTATTTCCTGCATTCAATATTACCACCTATGATTGATGAAGTACAAATGTATAAAAGAAATAATGGCAATGGTTTGAACATTTTTTTAGCATGATCCATACTTCTCAAAGTCTGTTTGGTGCAGGTAAAATTTTTCTGGTGCAGGTAATTTTCAAAGTCATCTGCACCAGTGAAGGTATGCAGAAAAAAGTATTTGGAGCCCTGTAGACCAAAATCGTCAAAGTGAACATGGCAGCCAATTTTGAACTGACACTAAACAAACTAAACTATACATCTCACACAATAGCAGGTATTATAATGTTTCCTTAATTTACTTCTCAAAAGAACATCTTCGACAAGCTGCAGATTCAGATTCTGAACGAGCTGCCGTGTTCACTGTGACACTATGCCTGGTCAGAATTCAATTTGCTTACGTGCTTCAGTCACAACTAACAGGCTTAAACTACAAGTAGGTTACATATTACTGAGTAAGGATGTCACATGTATTTTGCTCTGCAAAATTTGGTGCTAAATGCATTTCCAACATCAAATTCCTCCTGGCAATACGGAAACAAAGAAACAACAGCAGTCTTTCCATGGTTTCCTGAGTTAGGTACGTTAACTGTAGATAACCACAAAACTTTAACCACAAAACCACAAACACTAAACAAAGACATGCTCCTTTGGTGTTGTAGTTGGGTTGACACAGGTGTACTTACATGGGCTGACGTCCCTGTACCTGTTCCTGAACTTGTTCTCTGGTTTTCGCGCACACTTCAACGTGTGGTTGTGCTCCGCCGCCTCCTGACGTATACCCTGTGTAAACAACAACAAAAACAACATGGGTCACGTGAGGTCAACGGAAAAACATGTGAAAACTGATGTCAATTCCATGTTCTATGTAACAATACTCACACAGGACTGGAAATACCACCTGCATATGCAGGTTAGTGTAGGTAAAATTGGATCTGTGCAGGTATTTCTGATGTCTACCCGCACCTAACCTGCACTGGTCCATGTACTGGGCATATGCAGGTTAGTGCCGGTAAAATTGGAGCTGTGCAGGTATTTCTGATGTCTACCTACACCTAACCTGCACTGGTCCATGTACTGGGCATATGCAGGTTAGTGCCGGTAAAATTGGAGCTGTGCAGGTATTTCTGATGTCTACCTACACCTAACCTGCACTGGTTCATGTACTGCACATGCAGGTTAGTGCCGGTAAAATTGGAGCTGTGCAGGTATTTCTTGGTCTTAGAAAAAAGACTTAGATCTTTCAACAGTTTAACTTTCTCTCTTCTTTGGTAACAGTTTGACACAAGCCTTAAATTTGTTTAATACAGGTTAAGGCTGCAATGAGATTTTTTTATACACAAAGAACAGTTATTCAAAATAATGTTCCCCCAAACCTTTGCAGTATTACTATTACCTCCTATAGTTGTATCACATTCCTACCAATGTATAACAATAGCACATAAGCATTTACATACACCTGATAGGTTTGTATTTGCACAGTATGCCTGTACTATTAGCCTGGGTACCATCCGGATTTTCGCTACGCGACGCTTGAAAAAATCGTCGCGTAGCGAAAATCCGGATTTTTTCAAGCGTCGCGTAGCGAAAATCCGGATGGTACCCAGGCTATGTACTATGCCATGCCATGGCAAATTCACTGCTCATGTTCGTTCCAGTTCCTGGAAAAGTCGTGCTGTCTTTTTGTTTAACGTTCTCCCAGTTACCTGGTAACTACCGTAACTCGGCTGTTATTTTCAACAAATGTTTGACTTTTTACTTGCAAGTTTCCACCTTTACATAAAGGTACTGTATATATATATACAGTACCAATTTACAGCAGCAGCAGGGCTCGAAATACTTTTTCTGCATACTTGCACAGGTGCAGCTAACACTGAACCTGCACCAGACAAGTTTCACCTGCAGCACTTAGGTGGTGGGAAAGGAGGTTTTTGCAGTGTTTAAACTCTTAAGTTCGTGGTTGAACTAATTCTGTAATACAAAAAAAAAAACAAAAAAACAGCAAACATTTCAAGATATACAGTACTCCACCGGCTACGTAATTTTCCAGAGCCTCTCATTTTACCCTGCAGCAGAGTACAGAGATTAATGGACATCATTAATTATTCAACTGGAAATGTCTACATCAGTGACACGGCTAGATCAGATTGAATTTTCGTAAAAAGATTAAGCCTGTCTACTATAACTTATACAGTAAAAGTTACTTTTTTTACCTCCGGGGGAGGAGACATCCTTCCGCGGAAGGGTTTTGTGAGAGAATTAGATTTTCATGTTCGCAGCTGTTTGTCGCGTTTGGGTGGACGGATTCTTTTGAGAATCGGTATATGTTTTCCTATTGGGTTGGAGATGATGCACGTTCTTTTGTTTTTATTGTATATGTATTTCGGGCGTGAAAATTGTGCCTTTTGGTGGCCCCGAAACACCCCTTTGAGCGTGAAAGTGGTCGCGACCGTTGACCTTTGGCGTGTTTAAGCTATTCTCGGTCTGGTCCACGTATATGACCCCTCACACAGAGGGGTGTCCGGTCTCGATAAATTCTTTGTTTAAAGCCCTGTACAAAAAATATACAATAAAAAGCCCGGAGGTATAAAATCTCAGATTTTACTTGTTAAAGTATTTTTATGTCTAGGACTTGTAATACCTATATTGCTTTTATTCTGGGACTGTTGAAACTTTTTTTTATATATATACCAGGGTTCTTTCCAGAATTTTTTTCACAGCAAAGGTATATACTAGTAGTAAAGTATACAGAAAGACAACTTTCCTATCCCAAAGACCACAGTAGGGGTCTGGTATTCTTTAAAAAAAACAACTCATAACCCCCTAAAGCAGTATTTGCTGCTTATTATGGGATAACTTTTGTAAAGTTATGGTTCTCTCTGTTTTACTAGCTTCATAGGCAACACAACTTTGCCTTTACCCTGGTAGTACACGTGGGCATCACAAAATTGCATCCCTGACAGTGTCAGTAATTGCAGGGTGTCTAATTACCTCCATTTTTCCCATAATTGGTTTGATTGACGTCATGCCATCATAGCCGTCCAACTACTAGTACATCAAATTGTATCCAAGGGGGAGCTAGGGTTAGGATACGGCTTACTTAGGATACGCTTTGGCTTACTTTTTGACGTGTTTGTGCTAAATTGTAGGGCATTTTTATTGCGCTTTCTATTTTCTAGTGGTATCTTTTTTTACACCAGCCTAACCTTGGAGTGGCATATAGGATACTGTCTGGGCGATTTCTTACTGTCTTTCCAATTTGATGTGTTGTAGCCACCGAAAGATCCGTTTGATTTGGCAGCGGTGAAACAGGAACAAATGTGCTCGAGGTGTGACAGTCTTAAACACCAGGTCAACGACTTAACGCCCACTGTAATGGACTGCGTTTGCAAAGGTATGAAAGTTATCGCCCCTACAATGGACGGCCTTCCAGAGGTGTGAAATTTAAGACTTCAAAGACACATACTGACCGAGATATGACCACCAACCTTACTGTCCAATACTTATAGCATGATTGCCAGTCGACAGACCAGCCTATAGCTCACTTCTGTAATAATTTGTGACTGGGACAAAAAAAGCCATTGCATTCAACATTCAAGAAAACATATGATTTTTTCTAAGTGCTTAGAACCCTTGCCCAGATATTTAAATGATAGGGAAAACTGGAAAAATACAGCCATAAATTTAAACATTTTGGCTGTTCTAAACTTAACTGTAGCCTAATGACAATGACTATTGTGTGTTTATTTGTGTACAACTGAGGTCTAATTATTTTTCTAGCACAAGCAGAAAATACTATATATGTAAGTTATAAAATCCTGATGCACAGTGCACGGGCAGGTCGTTGATCGGTCTGACTTGGGGCGTATAGAAGTCTGGATCGAGTCGTTTATTTTGCACGACCTCATCACGACTCTTACAACGACTGAAACACGACTGCCATTCTGAATGTATAAAGTCCCATTGACCATATTACGACTATTTAACGATCTTTCTACGACCCCGATCGTTAAATAGTCGTGCACAGTCGTATTTTGGTCAACGCTGAGAGGAGAGGTCAAGAGGTCATGATAGCCATTATTCCTGATAACCCAAATATGGTAGCAGAACACAGTGGCGATAATATGACGCGGGTATAGAAAGTAGTGCAGTGAATATTCTTGAAGGCTGGGTAGAAAGCCTGATAAGCGCGTCAGCCAGATATAAATCGCGCTGCGTGGTGTAGGAATGTATCGGGTTTGAGACTGTATGATTTGAATTGTGAAGGTTTTGCAGTTGGTGTATAAATGCGCCGTATGACGCAACTGGCTTTCCGGGTGAGTCGGCTGCAGTTCAGGTCACGTCCGTAGACGGCGATTTCAAAGTGTACGTCACGAGCAGATACGCCGACAGGATTTTTTGGTTTCTAGATATCTTGTAGTTTGTGCCTTCTTCTAAAACATATTCGATTAAGTGAGTCATCTTGGGGTCCATAGAAATCCCCATAGGACGAAAACTGTGTTCTGCTACCAAATAGACAAGGTGGCACAACACAGTTTTCGCCTTATGGGGATCCAAAGTGACTCACTTCGACTCACTAAAAATTATAGCAGGGTGTACAAGCAAAGTTCAGAATTTCGATATCGTTAATTTCAGGGTGTGGAGTACAAAATATGTGAAAATGAGCCTAACTTTGCCGAGTCGTTCTCTTCTCACGCCCTCTTTTATTAGCGCCACTGCGGAGGTCATTAGAACTGCGACGCACAGTACTAGGCGATAAATGTATCGAAGCGCAATCTACTCCATGTGTGTTTTTTTCATGCTCCTTTTATCGTCACTTCATGGAGTCTTGGTTCACTTATTACAAATCACATTGGCGTAAACTACGTATATTTCGATTATCTGCACTCTAGTATGTGTTGAGGTGAAATATGAAAAATAATCAGCAAAGAGTCACCCTACTCTGACTGCAATGTACAGAATTTTGTAGGCTCCATCTTTGATGTACATAACATGTCTGAACAACTCTTATGTAACATTCTACTTAGAGGATCACCCCATTTACACCCATGGCATACAAACCGTAACATTTTGACAATTTCCCAAACTTACGTTATTGAAACGGTCTGTATTAGATTAACTTCTACATAGCCTACAAAACATTTTCCTCCTTACTATTTATTGACCCATTTCCACCCATTTGCTTTTCTCTGTTGTTTCTTGTCATGTACTTTTTTCATTGTATTCTTGCATGTTTGGTGGTGAGCTTAAAATTAGCTAAAGCTACAGTATCTCACCACCATGTTTTGTATCGTCTAAGTTGAATTGTAAATAAAAAAAATGTATATTGCTTCACTGATGCATGCGTCGCGTCGGTCCGCTCTCTGGTTCGCCGGTGAACAGCTAGCAGCTGGGCATGAGGCTGCTGGCGGAAGAGATACGCCACGTTAATGCCTGGATAGCGGGACTTGGCGCTCAGTGAGAGACAGCTCCTCCCTAGAGACAGGATAGCCAGCTCGCCATTAAAAACTTTCCTTTGCATGTGATAAATACTATGACTGTAATGGATCATAATGGTGATGATCCATGTCTATAGCGATGTACAAATTGTTTGCATGTGTTGAAGTGAGTCCCACCGCTCACCGCTTACATACAATGATCCCTGGACCGCACAACGGAAGTTGCCCTCTGAATCAGAGAGGTCAGGGGCTAGCTTCCGCGCATCTATTTACATCGCCCAGATACTCACTCTTTCCAGTGTCGTCAACAAGATATGATTGGCGAAATGACATTGCAAACACTGCAAATGATAAAAAAAGCAGGAAAGGCAA